GCACCAAACGGCATAAATTCAGCTTAAATTTAATTATAAAAAATTTAAAAATTCGGCAATAATTCGACATGCCAAATAACCAAATTTCGACTAGTGTTATCTTTTAATATCTAAAGGTTTTTTGCTTTATTTTTATTACAAATGTTTCAAAAAACCAAAAAAGTGTATACTGGTACATTGAAATGGAAACCTTTGATCAAAAAAAAACAAAATTGGAACTTTTGTTTTCTTCTTGAATTATATAAAAAGCATGTAAAAGTTATTTATTTTATAAATATTTTTTGGGAATTCTTTTATTTTTACTTTTTATTAATATATAAATTTTACTAAATAACTATGTTTTTTTTTAAAAAGCTGTCTTTTAATTAAAAAAACCAAACCTTATATCAAAATTATTAATATTGTTGACTTGAATATTAGAAATATATGCAATATATATCTTTTAACAGTGCTCAATATAGTTTGCTGCATCACAAAATCACAAAATTTTATTTAAAAATTTGAAGTTGCTATTGCGCTTGCGAAATATCTATTGATAAAAAAATTCTAATAAAAATCTTAATCAAAAGACTTAGCCATATTTTAATAAAATATAATATTTTTCAAAAATCCAACTTTATAACCTTTCAAACCAAAGCACATTCAAACTAATATAAATTTAAACTTAATTTATGACTTCAGAAAACTTATTTTTCAAAAAAAACTGTAATCAGTTTATTTTTTTTAATTGATTATTATTTTAAACTCAATTAAATCAAGCATCACCTCTAGTAATCAATATAAATAACACTTCTTTTTTAATTATAAACATTATTTATTTGTTTTAATTTTTCTATAAATTTTGATTCTTTATTGGATGCTAAATATAAATTAGTTTTATAATGCCAAATCGGAAACCTAACTTTATTTCTAAATGTTAAGCTCCGGTTTCTTTTATTAAATGCTAAGTTATAACTTTTGATTTTCGATTTCCAAACATACGCCGGAAATAAAATCCGATCACTTGAACATCTAGTTCTCATATTATTTCGTCATTCGTGAACTGTGATTTTTTATAACTATTACATCAATTCCAGTGATTTTAACAACTTTTCCAAGTATCACTTTTTTTTGTCCGAGCCTATTTTCACATAAAAACGTAACACTGTCTGAAACTAGTACACTTTATACCACCCCTACTTCTGTTGCTGAAAAATAAGACGGTCTCGCTGGCGGACGATATTAAAAAATATGACACGGTCAAGCTTATAGATTTATTGCGTGGGAAAAAAGACTTGGGTCTTGACGACGATAACTTGGAAATAATTCGCAAAGAAAAGGTTAATGGCCTAGACTTCTTTGACTTAACCCGGGAAGAACTTGAAAAACATGAAAAACATGGAATTAAATTAGGACCAGCTAAGAGACTCGTGAAGTTCGCCAAAGAGTGTAAGGAGAAGAAGTTGCGCTCGTTCTCCTCGTACAAGACTAAGAAAGACTTGAGAGGTGGTAGCGAAGCATGGTAAATTTTTTCACTTTTTATTAACGTATAACCAACGTACATTATTATTATTATTATTATTATTATTATAACTTTATGAAAGAACCCACAACATCGATTATAAGAACGAAGCTTTGATACATTGTCTAAAGGATATATGACTCAGGCTACGCAATGTGGGACCCGTCGTTGAAAGTAACGAAGCAATTCGTTGTGAATATATTTTGGTAATCCTCCATGCATGTATTAATATAGCCAGAGAACTTACTGGAAAAAAATATCACTAAACCCTCAGTTCGAAGTTGTTGATGAGGAAAATACAGTTCGTGTGGATTATGCAATCAAAGCACTTGAGGAATTGATTTTCATCACAGAGGATAAACAATATCAAATTGCTGTTGGGTTCACTTGGGTTAATAAGCTATTTATTCAGAGTTTCTTAGGACCCGTTCCATTAACTGATTTGATACCTCTGGTCGCCTACAGAACGTTATATAATGCGAAAGTGCTTTCCAAACTAACAAGAGAAAACGAAAGGCGGATGATGCTTTTGGTGAGGAATATGACTATCTCCTAGGGATCATGACTACAGCTACGGGATGGCATTTTCTCCTTTGTACCCCAGACGGGATTTCTTGCACGAGTAAAAATCTACTCAATATTCGTTTTGTCGAGACTGCTTTGGAAGAAGGTTCGAAATATGAAAAGGAGTTGTGTAAAAATGTGAAATGGGTGATGGAGGTTATTGTTGGGTTATTGAGAGAAAAGGCGAATGTCGAGAAAGAGCCTAAGAATAAAAAGGCTAGGGTCCAAGAATACCTTTAAAAAGGATATTATAGCGTTACTCCGTAAACTGTATATTGGCATAGAAAGTTATTGTGTCATGGGTATAGATTCGAATCTTTGTATTTATTTTTCACACATAATAATGAACAATTGTTCACACGCACGTAATTTTTTTATTTTAAATGCTTATATGCAGTGTATAGTTATTTGTAGATCATGTCACCAGGCTTGAATTATTGAGACAACGCGTCAATGAGCTTGAGACTAAGAACGCCAAGCTTGAGGCTGAGAAAGCTGGAGGCTATGGCCGATAAAGGCCGAACTTAAGAGCA